GACGGACTGTTCTATATAATCTCTAATTCCTTCTAAAAACTACCACTCGGATATGGATCAAACGGATTTTGATCACAGTATAATGGAATAGTATAGTATAAACCAAACAAAGTGTTTTATCTATTTTGTATTGCTGCTACTGTGAAACACAGTTCCAGCTTAATGTTTTAGGGATGTTTTTTGTGGTCTGGACTTGGTCTTATTATTTCTTTATACAGCTTAGTTATTGGAATTATACACACTAATACAATCAAATGTCATGTGATACCTACACTTCATAAATATTTTTCTTATGGTGACAAAATCTTTCAAGAAGATAATATCATTCTACACCATTTAAAGATTGCTAAAGAAGTATGTCAAAAAATCAGAATTGTAATATTGTTGTGGGGTGCTCAAAGCCTAGATTTAAATCCGATAGAAAATCTTTGAACAGAAATGAAAACTATAGTTCATTGCTATATCCACCATCATTAAACCTTAACAAACTTAAACAGTATATCAAGCAAGCATGAAAAGAACTTCCTTTCAAATATTATGAAAAATTAATCGATAGTATACCTTATACATGTGGCTGAAATTCGTAGATTCTTGATGCAATTGATGCAATTATTTGATGCAATTAATTGAGTCACTATTAAAACATATAAATAATTGAGTCATAATACAATTATTTTTAAGGATTTTGAGAATTGAGTTAACAGCAAAATAATTTATGCCACATGATATTGTTTTATTGAAATATCTTTCAGAAATTGATTATCAAATATTAATTAATTTTGTTAAAATATGTTAAATATTAGTATGCTGAATCATAAGATAAGAATTATTAAATAAAGCTTATAAAAAATTAATAACAATGTATAGTATATCTCATTATACTAAAGCTGTAATTACAGCAGATAAAAATGTAACAAAATATTAATATATTAGTATTTTTTTTTCATCTTAATTTGATTAATTTAATAAATTATTATTTTATCTTAAATAGTTAAAATAATTAAAAAAAATTAGTTGTTTTAAAAATGTTTGCATAATAATAATCGTCATCTGTATATAAAGAATTGCCAAAAGTTTGTAAACACTTTTTAAAAATTAAAAAAAAATTTTTTTATAATAATATATTTATATATCAATCATAAATCTAACTTTTATTATATGACTAATATTTGTAGACCCCCTTCTGCCATGATACAAGCTTCAACATAATGCAGCATACTTTTGACTAATCACTGACAATCATTTAGACTTATTTCATTTCAACACTTTTTAACAAAATTTTCGAGTTCTATTAAATTTTTAAGCTTAGGTGTAATTTTTCAAAAATAATATTTAACGAGATTCCAGAATAGTATTACAAATCTTTAGTTGAAAAGTTCAAAATTAACCAATTAGAATTCAAAATTTTTAGTTGCAACTAGTTGATTATATTGAAAACAACTAATCAATTAGAAAAATTTTTGTCAACTAAGATCACTATTTCAGAGATTCTTGATCGAGTTAAGATCTGGACTTTATAAAGGCCAGTCTATAACCCAAACATGATATATGGTTATGTATTATCATACTGAAATCAAGAATGACCAGCCTTATTCCACTTGGTTATAGAAGAATTTTGAAGGGCTAACAAACGATTTTCCTGAAAAATTTTGACATATGATTTCATTAAAAAAAAAAATAAGTATAATAAAAAAAAATTTTTTTTTTGTTTTTTTTTCTATTTTTTTTAATTTTTTTTCTTTTTAAATGAACCTGTAACCAACATATAGAAAGAAACGAGAGGATCAACACCAAATTACAAGAAGCACCCCAATATATATGACTTGGACTATGATTAATGGTTTTTGAAACACATTTGACATTTCACTTTTTGTGTGACTTATATTATACATGTGACATAAATTATTTTACTGTTGATTCAATTTTCAAAGTCCTTAAAAATAATTGCACCATGACTCAATTATTTATATGTTTTAATAGTGACTCTATTAATAGTGTCAAATAATTGCATCAATTGCATCAAGGATCTACAAATTTCAGCAACATATATAATTTACACCATATACAGTATTTGCTTTCCTGCTGAAATTGGATAAATATTGACTTGTCACTTCAGATTACCTTTTTAAAATCATTAACGGTTCATTCTTTATACTCAAGGTATAAGCAAAGTCTGTTTTAAATATTCTTTTCTAAAACAAGTGGTTTGGGGCGAGTGACATGACTTCTTAAATTTTCTTTATGTAAAGTCTAACAAACAGTTCTTGAGGATACTTTAATTTGTATCTTTGATATGAAAAGATTTGTTAGTTTTGCATTACTTGAATATTAATTCTTTCTATTGATAGTAAGTTTTTTAAGAAAGATATAGGCACGTGTGTTAAGATATCATATAATATTACAAATCGTTAGTTGGAAAGTTCAAAATTAGCCAATCAGAATTTAGAATTTTTAGTTGCAACTAGTTGATTATATTGAAAACAACTAATCAATTAGAAAAAATTTTGCCAACTAAGATCACTAGTGTCATGATCATCCAGTTTTTTATACTGGTTCTATAGATTCAGTCTTAATAAACCTGTTTATAATGTTCTCCACAACAGATTTTCTGTAATTGATGTAATTGGCAATAGTGTGATACAAATCTTTTCTTTTAAAGCTATAAATTATGGCTGATTTCTGTTTAGAGGTTAATTTATTTTTCATATTCATAAGAATTAAATATAAGCAATTATACAAAAATCAAAATACAAAATACAAAACAAATAAAAAAATTTTTTTTATTTATATGTTTTTTTTTAAAAAATTGATTATGTTATATAAATATGTCATGTATATTTTTTAAAAAAATTAACTATAATTAAAAAAATAAATATAGTATAATTAAAAAAATAAGTGTCTATAAACTTTTGGCAATTTTCTGTATATAAATATTTTTTTTTATTACATCAAATATTTTCTATAAATTAGATTATTTCTAATTTAAATATAGCTTAATATTATCTAATACCTACTGTTTCCAATAGTATTGATTTTTCTTAAGCCAATCTAATTATCTTAATTAACTGACTTGTATCAAATAAATAGATCTTTTTTTAAATAGAACTTATATAAGAGGAAAAAAAATCCTATTATTAATTTAAATCTATCCAATCTATTAGTTTAATTGTATTTTTAATTACTTGTTAAGAAAAGAACATATGAAATATTATTATAAAAATAAGTTTTAATATTATATTATAGAATCTATTATATTAATTAAAGTTATAAATTTATTATAAAAATTAGATTAAAAGTCTTTCTTTATATAATCTTTCCTGTTTCAATCTATTTTCAATTCATAATTATCAAAAAAATCAAAGGTTCCATTTTTATATAATTTAATTAAATTTGTAAATCAAATGTTTTTAAATATAAAATATATTAAAAACCAATAAATCTAATATAAAGAATGATTTTACTTTTTGTAAATATTTAATAAAAATCATATATTTGAAAACCTAAGAGCACTATTTACTGTACTAAATAATAATTTTTTTTAAATAATATATTAAACCAATAAATTTAATATTAGTTTATCTATATAGATTAAATTGAAAATAGGATTTTTATATTATTAGATTTCTATTGACATATAAATTCAACTATATGATATAATTATTAAATAATATTAAATGCAAACCAATCAGAATTTGAATTGAATTATCATTTCATCATTGTAAAACCAATGCAATTGAGGTAAGTTGGCATTTATCACAGTCAAATTATTGTTGATCTTCGCATTTACACTTCAACTTTTATCTTATAAGGATTTTCAAGTTATTCAGGTAAGTCATTGGTAATTTAAATGCGCGAGAAAAAAATCATGACGAGTTTGCCCAATGGCCAGTTATAAAGAGGAAAGCGACGAGGTGATGAAATCCCTTGTTTGTTTGTGACTAACAAAATGTTGCACTATGTGCCTTACGCACTATGTAATCAAATATTTTTGTGTTTTACAAGAATCGACTGGTTACATATAAATGCTGAATTTATACATTTTATCGTGAAATTTGCCCCAGTTCCATCCAGGAAATCATAGTGTTCAGTTTATATATCGACTTTTTTCAGTCGTACGTATCGGCTGGAAAGTTGAAGTACTTAATAAATGAGTCAAAAGTCTGAAGTCAGTTTATATACCGATTTTATATATATACTGTAAAGTAATTCAGGTAATATTGCGCTTCTGCGGTTACGTTTAGTATATGTTGGGCTTTTTGTCAGTTTCGTGCGACTTGCACAAAATAAGTCACCCAATTCTTTCATAATTACGTATTCTTTCCCTTTTTCCAACAACGATCTTATTTTCTTGGGCTTGATCCTTGCTTCTTCGTTTACGACATCTTTACAGGTTGTTCTCCTCACCTAATCCTTCCTTCGGTCCCTTTCCTTGTAAACACCCTCGAACTCTCTGTTTCTTTACCACCCTTGTATATATACCTTTTCTGGACCGGTGTAGAAACTTGCATAATCCAAAAAGACCGCAGGCTTTCGTGGTCCTCAGAGAATAGAACTACTTGTTAGACTGATAATAGACTTAGTTGTACATCCACCATACACATAAAGTCCATAAAAGAACGAAAAGATTTACCCCATTCTTGGCATAAATATAAAAAAAAATTTTTTTTTTTTTGGTTGCTAGGACATATTTACACCTAAAAAGTGTAAAGATTCTCGCACGACGTCTTGTACTTTTCTCTTATACTTGTACGATAATACTCACTTGTGTAAGTAACAGGGTGTTTCTGTAAAGGTAAGAGAGAATGGTATATCCAATGACTCGGAGTCCCGTGGGTTGCGGATCGTTCTGTGTAAAAAAGTTATAACACCCTAACACATTTTATTTTTTTTTAAATAATACTCCGTAAAGGTTAAATATAATGGAGGTAGGTCATTCCTTGAATACACATTTAGTCCTAGAATGTTATGCTATTCGAATTGTCTTTCCTAAACAACCTTCCTCGAACTCATGACACTTTCTCATCTTTGTCAATTGCATTGCTCAACTTCCCACAGCAACAAGAGACAATTCCTGTCCAAAATTCCTGGAAGATTGTGAGTAAAAGAAGCTCATTTATTTCTCAAAAATAACTATCACCAAGCTGTAGTTCTAGAGGCCCTAAAAACTAGAAACAAATATGTCATTTTCTTGATCAAACATAATACGAATATAACACATGATATCTACTTTCTTTTTGAAAATTTAATTGGCTCATTCTTTTTTACATTTCTGTTTCTCTATGCAAATTTGATTTATTTTTAGCCAAAGTCCTCCACCAGCAGATCTGATAGCCCCGCATCAGCAACAAATAAATCAGGTAATGCCAATGGTAGCGGAAATAATAGTCCATCACCAGCGTCCAACTCCCCCACTACGTCGACGAATGCAGCTCCGTATAATCATCAGAGCTGGAAAGTTGTTGGAAGTCCGCCTACCAATGTAATTAGGTCTATACCTCAAAGTCCAAATGAATTCCAAGTCTATCAGGCAAAAAAATCAGATGAAGACAACTCGGATCAAAAATTGCGCAGAGCATCAAGTAACTCCAGTACACCGCAACGATATTTAAATGGAGGCACTGATCTGTCTAGATTGGTTTCATCCAGTTCCCCTCCGCCAAAAAATTTACAAAATATCCCTAATGGAAATGGTGAAAATAGTGGTAAATGGGGTACATTGGGATTACAGTGGCCTGGCCCGTCTTCAATCTGGATCGAAAAGAACTCACCACAATCCGGTTCAGTAACTAAACAAGGATCACGTACGTCGCCACCTCCTCCATCCACAAAGAATGACGAGGTGAATAACAATTCTTCATATGAAAGAGATATCAGCTCACCTCCGGGAATTTCTGGAAAATTACCAGTTCCTGTTCCTCCTAACCCACAATATCGCCAACATCGAAGTCTTTCCTTTTCTGTCGGACAACATGACACCGATCTATTTGGTTATGCTCCCACTACAAATCGTCGTGACAGTGAGGGTGGATTGCGTTTTGCTTATCGCCACTCTTTGCCAGTAATGGAAGAGGAAACTGATGACTTGTCGCAATTTAACATGAAATTCCGTGCGCGTTCAAAATCATCTGCCGCTGCTTACGGGGCAATCTCAGGCTATTCGGACCTTCCTGGTGATGATATGAGTGAATATAGAAGGGATTCTGAGCAATATTCAGATTCAGGCTCAATCTGGAACAATCAAGGACCCCAAAATGACGGTCCTATTCTTCATCACAGACGTTCAGTACCCGGCACTTCTGATTACGGAATGTGGGATAATTTAAACGCATCTAGACAACCCGCAACATCATCTTCGTACTTGTCGATGATGTCCGGCTTGCCTAATAACGACCGACTAGAAAAAATGAGGCAAAGACGTTTCTCTCTTTCACAAGTGCCGACATATAGTCATGATTATCCGTATATGGATGGGAACCAAGATTTACGAATGTTAAACCATCGGTATGAATTCATTATTAGTCAATCTATTCTATAATATTTGAATATACATATTTATATTCTAATTAATTTTAATATTAACTGTGGTTAGTACTTCAACAATCGATCCATCATTTGCTCATCTTGTGCAAAGACGTCATTCGGTGGCAGGACCTTCAATTTCTTTTTCAGCCAATCAGCCAACTAGATATCTATCTGATACATTGGAATCTCTCCATCTAAGTAATGTATCGCAAGCCACATATACTAACGACACAGGGTATCCTAGTATTCCAGAAGACATCGACGATTATTTTGATAACGATGAACACCGTACGAGAGCGTGGAATGAACTTGGAAAGGGATTACCTCTTCATGCTGTTCCAACTCATGGTCCGCTGTTTCTTGTCGAATTTAAAGCGGGACGTACCGATTTATTTTACGTTGCGGAAAATAGTGGTAACATAGTTAAAAAAGGAGATCTTGTTATTGTCGAGGCAGATCGAGGAAAAGACTTGGGAAAAGTCACGAACGATTCCATCATGCCTCATCAAGTGCAATTATTACAACAACAGCAGGCTGATGCTATGAGTGACGGTCATCGCATGAACAAGGAAATTCACCCGAAACGTATTTACCGATTGGCCCAGCCGGCTGAAGTTACAATGCTGGTTTCAAAGAGTCAGGATGAATCAAAAGCTATGTTGGTCTGTCAGACTAAAGTTCGTCAAAAGAAATTGCCAATGGAAGTGGTTGATGCAGAATACCAATGGTATATGATCGATCCATTTAATGTAGTTTACTAATTTAATAAGTTTATCCTAATTTTGCTTTTCATTTTAGGGACCGGCGCAAGCTTACCTTCTACTTCATCGCCGAGCGTCGTATTGATTTCCGTGAATTGGTCCGTGACCTGTTCAAAATTTACAAAACGCGTATTTGGATGTGTGCTGTCAATCCTATGATTAATAAGCCCAAGAAATGATGAATCATAATTGTTGAAGGAAAGCCAATCAAAAAAAATTTTTTTCCAACGGTGTTCAAACATCAAAAGTACAAAAAGATATATATAAAAAAAAAAAAAAAAAAAAAGCAAAAAAGAAAAAAAAACGTTGCACTGATTTGACCTTTTCAAACTTAGGAACTCACCTGTGTATATTCTCTCTTTTTTTTGTATTATTTTGTCGAGACGTTAAGAACGATTAATTATTATTATATTTTATTTGTTAATATTTATCGTCTGACTGTAGAAAAGAGATAAATAATGAATTTATCAACACAATCTTCAATTGTTAATTTTCTTCTTTGTATCTATATTTTTATTTTTATTTTCTCTCGTTTAGAAGTTATCGATCCAGGCACTTCTTCATTATTATAATGGGTCGTTTATAGCTTCATGCCATACAATCTTTTTTGTTTCATATATATTAGTTTATAGGTTTTTTATCCTGGATCTTTCCCAATCAATAGTTGTTTTTTATTTTTATTTTATTTTTTTTTTATTACAGTAGACATATTGTAGAAATTTTTATACAAAAGGATTACATTATATCATTGAATCTCAGGAATTTTTTTTATTTGTCGGAAACGAGCTAAAGATAACATGAAGGTATTTAACCCTCTCTCATATTATATTTTGACGATGTTAATCTTATATTTTTTTCTCTTTTGCTCCTTTGTTGTCAGATCCTTTCTTTTTTTTTTTCGAATGGCATACTTTTCACGATCTAAATCTCTGAAATTGTATCAGTTCTAGAAAAATCTTACTCCTCGTTCCTTCACCTTCCCTTCACGAGCCCAAATTGTAATACCTTATCACGTAAAGTTCATGAAAATTTATTTCCTTTTCATTCTTATTTACCTTCTAGTATTTTAAAACAATTGTGTATACAAAACAATGCATTCAAATTTTCCTTTTTCTCTTTATTATGATTTCATTTAAAGATAATTTATCAACTTTTTTACTATATATTTAAAAAGTCGTATGATTGTGAGCAAATATGAAAGGAATACTTTTTGATTGACATGATTACAAAATTGCTATCAAAACGGATAATAATCCAGAAGGCAAATACTATTTATCTGCGTTATCCAAGTCTCATGTTCGCAATACATTTAAAATAACTTTTGAAGTTGAATCCTTTTACCAAAAAATATTTAAAAACCTTTGACATGTGAAAAAGATCGTTTGTTAGAAACAATTAATAAGTATACAGTATGTACATAAAATCAAGTTCATTCGTTACGATTTTATAATTTCATACATCTATTAAATCAATGAAAAATTACAAAGTTTTTTAATATAGATAACTTCAAATTAAAATTTTTAATTTATTTAAACATAAATAATTAAATATACTGTATATACAGCCTGTTACAACAGTCTTTGGACTAATGTTTTTTAATATAATTTAATAAATAATTATTTAACTTAGATAAAACTTTAAATATATATATTTTTTATAATCTAATAATAAAAATATTCAATTATTATTAATAGTTAATTAATAGTTTTATTATAAAAATATTGTTTTAAATAAAAAAAAAAAAGTAAAAAAATTTTGCTTAGGTTTTTATATATAAATTTATATATAAATTATAATTAGAAACTATGATTTTTTAAATAAAATATTTTAAAAGATAATTTAAAAATCAAAAAAAAATTTTTTTGAATTTATAAAAAAATTATAAAAAAATTATTTTATAATTTTATTAATACTTGTTTAACTTTAATAGTAATTTTTTTATTTTTTATTTTTTTGTAGAGAAATATTATTTTTTTATTTAATTTATATAGTAATAAATATATATTGTAAAAGAAACAACATCTATTATATATAATAAAACAATAAGTTAAATATTAACTTGTCTATAATGACCACTTAACTAATATTAAAAAGAAATTTTAAAGCAATATATTTTATCAAGTGACTATAAAAAAAAATTGAAATAATGGATTATTAGTTTAAAAATATACTTAAAGAAATTATATTTATTTTGAATATAAAAATCTATTACTATTATTAGTAGGTCAATAATAGTTGAATTATATAGAATAAAAGAAAAGAAGTTTTTAGATGAATTTAATTTGATAATATTTTAATTGTTTTTTTTCTTTGTTAAGATATTGAAGAAACTCTTATTTTATTTATATATCATAATTTTTTTATTTTTAATATTTGATTTATAGTTAATTATTTAAAAAATTTTATCAAAATTTTTTTACTTTTTTTATTTATTTAAAACAATACAATATTTTATAATAAAACTATTAATTAATTATTAATAAAATTTGAATATTTTTATTATTAGATTATAAAAAATACAATATATATTTAAAGTTTTATTTAAGTTAAATAATTATTATTAAATTATATTAAAAAATATTAATTCAAAAACTTTTGTAATATATTATATATTGTAAATAAACAATATCAATATATTGTATACTTAAATTATTTAAAGTTTTATTATAAAATTAAATTTATATTATTAAAAATTGATTATTATAATTTAAAATTGCAATAAATACAAATAAATAGAAAATTAAAAAATATATTTATTAATTATATTAAATTATTATAAATATAAAATATAAATATATTATATAAAAATCTTGCATGTATTACACTTAGCCCCCCCCCAAAAAAATAAATAAATATATTATATAAATTTTTTTAATTCAAAAAAAAAAAACTCTTATTCATTTATTATTGATTTTTTGAAATTTAATTTTATAGAAAATTTTTTTTGAAAAAATAAAATAATATCGATCTATAATAAATTTAATATATGAATTGTAACCTACTCATATAAATTTATAATAAATTTACATTACTTTATTATTTATAAATTAATATTAATTAGACCTGTGGATTCATAGCATAATGGATAGTGCTTCTAGGTTTTCAAATACATTTCTCTAGTTCAATACTCACAGGAAACAAATGTATAAAAAATTATTTTTTATTTGTAAGTTTACCGGTTTTCTTACAAATGTCATACACAAATATCCAGATCTTATTTAAATTTAATTAGGCTGTATGAAAATGGAACCTCTGATCTTTCTGACAATCGTGGACTGAAAACAGGTCGAAGCAGAAAAGGTTATATGAGAAAAGATTTCTGGTCTAACTTCGGTAAAAGCTCACAACCCCCTAATATGGCAAACTTCATAGCATAAAGAATACTCTAGCCTGGAACTATTCCAATCCGGTGTTTGCTTAAAAGAAGAGGATCCCAAAAAGGAAATATAAAGCCACAGGTGATAACAAGGAGTATAATATCTTCTCTAAGAAACCAGGCGAAAAGTATTCAGGATATCCGAGTGTTCTAATCATTCCTGTAAGATATATAAGCCCCTCGTATCATTGGATTAACAGGTTTAGATGGTTTAAAACTGGTGATAGGATTTCTATTTCTTGGATTAATTCCACCTGACATGTGAACTATACATGTAATAGAAATTGATAGATCCTTGATATAATTGATATAATTATTTGATGCAATTAATTGAGTTACTATTAAAACATATAAAATAATTGAATCAAATGTAATTATTTTTGAGGATTTTGACAATTGAGTCAACAGCAAAATAATTTACACCACATATATAGTGTAGATACATCTTCTTGGTATAAGTTTATATAGTTGGATAATTAAGATAGATATGTAAACTGTTACTAGAAATAGTCAATAGACAGTGTTAATTCTATATATAGAAGACATATAATGTAATCGAAATTGAACTATATGTAAAAGACACTTGATGTTATATCTCAATAGTAATTATTAATAAAGATTCGCATTGATGTATATTCACCTTAAAAAAAAAAATAAATAAAAAAATAAATTAGTATTAATCATTTATAAGCCACTTTTAGTTTTATATTACTTACTTAGTATAATATAGAATTATATTAAATATATATAATAGGCTAGCATTAATATATTCTATATTTAGAGGTAAAGATATTTAATATAATAATTATAAGCTCTTACTTAATATTTTTTTTTTTTTTTTATCGACTAGCAGGGCCTTACCCAGCGTTGGCTTTTATTTAGTTCACATATGTATCTTACATGTTATTACAGGTAATTACTATCTATGAACTACTCTAGCCCACCGTGGATTATTATCGGATTTTACCCCCATATTGGCTTTATGCTATTGACGGCCATCTCAGACGAGTCAAGGCTAACGTGCATATGCTCCATTAGTGTCGTTATTTTATGTTAAGTTCTATTTACTAACCGGGA